GTAGAGGAGTTTTTACGAATCCGCCATGAGTCACAGGTACCAGAGTTACGTACAACAGATCTGAATCACTGTATTGCTATTCCAGATATATTTATGGTACGTATTCAAGATGATGATTATTGGACTACCTTTTCACCTATAGATGCAAAGATATTACTAGGATATGATCTAAACGGATTATATGGTCAGAAATTCAATGATGCATATATTCGTTGTGAGGTGGAGTTAAAACGTAAGAAAACGATCAAAGCACGGAAGTTATTTTTTGATATAATCAAAATGCAATGTGATACTGGTGAACCGTTTTTGTTCTTTATTGATAATACCAATAAAAAATCCAACCAAAGTAACATTGGACCAATCGTAACACCAAACCTATGCACAGAGATTGTCGAACATACAGAAAGTATATCTGTTTGTAACCTTCGTGCTGTCATTTTACCTACCCATATTTCTTCAGAAAATGAATTCGATTTCACCGAATTACAACATTCTGTTAGACTGCTTGTAAACTCATGTGACCGATCAATCGATCTAACATCTTACCCATTATCAGAGTGTGAAATAGTGAATAAGAGTGATCGACCTATTGCAGTGGGTGTCATTGGACTGGCAACATTGTATAAGAAACTCGGATACTCCTGGGAAGATGAAAAAGCACGTGAACTTAACAAGAAAATATTTGCAAATATATACTATGCTGCGTTGGATGAATCATGCAACCTAGCACGTGAGCATGGTTCGTATGATAATTACAAAGGGTCACCTGTATCAAAGGGTATCTTACAATATGATATGTGTGATAGTGATCCATGTTCGGGACTTGATTGGGATTCTTTGAAACAAAGAATCAAAGAATATGGGGTTCGAAACTCTTTGTTAATCGCCCCGATGCCAACCGCATCAACATCCCAATGTGTTGGCACAGGGTACAGTGAAGGACCATTTCCCGATGAATCGAATCTGATGTTCAGAGAAACTACCGGGGGAAGTTTTATTTATGTAGAGCGTGAGATGGCAGAAATGCTTATATCTAAAGGACTCTGGACTCCAAAAATCATAGGTAAGATATTAGATAATAATGGTAGTGTTCAGGATATAAAAGAGTTTCC